CCGTGTAATATCTCCCAAAAGACTCTCTGCAAAAAGGTATGTCTTCAGCCATGTATGACACTGCAAACATTCAGCTAACTGAGCAAATATCAGCTTTACCCTAATTCCAATTCCAACATGCCGTCAACACCTTCGGCATACTACAGTCAAATACCGACAGTACGGTGCCGGTATGTTTGAAGGCGGCATGTGACGCGTTTCCATGCATGGCATCGATCTCACAACGGGTTACAGCGACTGCGGTGAAGTACTACAGTTTGGAAAAAAGCATCGATGTGAGGACCTAGATTTGCGACCTACCCGCCGACCAAAGCAAGCACCAGGTAAGGAACAATTGGCAGGCATAGTGCAGGGGACCATCATTGATTGCTTGGTCCCTGTAGGAGACGGCCATGATGACGACGACTACGGAAGGGGACGGAATGGACATGGCGGAGAGGACCGAGACAGAGAACGAAGCCGCAACCGTGACCGTGGTGACCGCGAGCGAGGGGGACCAACCAGACCACCCCGCGACCGCAGCCGCCCACGCGAAGACTCCCACCAGCCACAACCCAACCAACGCTCAAAATCACGCACCAGAGATCAACAAAACTCACGCCGGCGGTCACCACGGGAGGATGAGCCGCACAGCCCCGGGAGCGGGGGGTCTGGGGAGAAGAAGGGGGGAATTGATAATCTGATGGCGGATTTGATGAATGAGATGCATATGGAGGATGGGCGGGATAGTGGGTATGATCAGGATGATAGGGATGCACCGAAGTGTGGGGGTTGCAATCAGTCAATCAAAGATCCTACGCAGGCATTCGAGATTCCTGCGTTGAGTAAAGTGAGTCGAGTTTCTTTTTTCAAAATGATTATTGTTAGGGGACGACGTTATGGAACAACACACTCCAGCAATTGAAGGGCAAGGTCATGCATGATGCTTATTTATGATTTTTTCCCCAGCTATTCCACGTCAACTGCTTCCGGTGTCGAATCTGCAAATCCACATTCAGCGAAGAAAACCCATACGTCCCACACGAAGGTCACGCATATTGCGAACGCGATTACGAAGACTGCATGCAACGAATTTGTGCCAAATGGTATGACATTTTGACACTTGAGCATGTTTAAGCATATCAACTCAGTATCATCTGAATATCTCCCTCACCATCATCCACCTCACCACCTTCCCAAAAAACCCAGCAACAAACCAATCTTCTCCCGCCCCGTCTACGCCCTAAACAAAGTCTTCCACTCCAACCACCTCCGCTGCCACCACTGCCGCCACACAATCCACGGAAACCCCTACGAACACAACGGTCACGTATACTGCGAAAAGGACTACTTTTCCCTATGCGCTGCCCGTTGCGCTACGTGCCAAAATCCCATTGAAGGCGAAACCATATACGCCTTAGATAAGACGTACCATAAAGATTGTTTCGTATGCGTTATGTGCGGAGTGAATTTCCCCGATAAGAGTTTTTATGTTTGGGAGGCGGAACAGGTTTGTAGGAGGCATTACCATATGAGGAATGGGAGTTTGTGTGGGGGGTGTGATGCGCCGATTGAGGGTAAGTTTTCTTTTGGTTTGGAGATTTTGTCTTTCAGCCCGCTGACGGCTTCCCACCCCACACAGGCCCCTGCGCAGAAGTAGCAGAACTCAACAAACGATACCACCCAGACTGCTGGTGCTGTGCACTCTGTCGCGCACCACTGACGACAACGTACTACTCGTACGCGGGGAAGGCGTATTGTGAGGAAGATATTCAGCGGGTGTATAGTCGTCAGAATAAGAAGTTTGATAGGAGTCAGAGGAGGCAGACTATGATGCGGAATTTGTAGAGGGGGAGTTTTTAGAGGGTAGAGGGTGGATGTGACGAGTGATTGTGCTGGAAGGATGTTTCGCTTTTTTACGGAAGGGGAGAAGAGGGGCGGCACTTGCGTGCTTTCTGGGATCAATCTTTCAGTTTGTGCAAGTCACCGTCACAACCAGGGCGGGGATACTTCTGGGCGGGGGATACTTCTTTTATATAGTTTTCTTGTCGCTTTCTTCTTTGTGTTCGCTGGTGTTATTTCATCCTGTTTATAAAGTCTGTCCTTTTGGGAAGTCGTGTCTTTTTCTGTGTAGAATCAAGAAGAAGGTTGGATTTATCCATGCATATGTTTCATTCCACCGCTACCATGTATGACAGGGCGGACTGCTTGGGGGAATTGCTTTGGACTTGGTGGAGGGGTGGATCAAGAGCATGTTCGAACGACCAACAAACGACCCGGCCGAGCCAGCAACTTCTACTTGCAGGGTCTGATGTTGATATCACATCACATGGTCCGCCTCCAAGGTTTTAATGGCTTAGGCCTGGTTGTAGCTCGTTCACCCATGGTACGACGTTTGTATTGCCTCATGCCACGAAATCGGAGCATAACGGCGCCTCCGACCGCATGCTCTAACAATTTCACATGTGGCCACAACAACTCCTTTTCAGATTGGGCTTTCTGACTTCAAAACTCAAACTTATCGACAGCGACAAAAGAAAAGACAAAGTTTCTTGAGCTCGGTACGTGCAGGTATGTTGATTTCTACTTCTCATTTTGCCATCCATCTGATGTTGCTGGACAACAAAGATTAACTGAGCGATTCCCACTATTCCCATTCAGACATTTCCCAATGGACCCTCGAGCGTCCTACTTCCCACCACCTCCGCCTAACCAAGGCGAAGGGCCTCAATATGCTATGCCAGCACATAGGCATAGCGTACAATCATATGAGGTCCACCCCGGCATGGTCCCATATCCTCACCAGTCGCTCCCTCCTCAAGTGCCAATGTCCCATCCGGAAATGTTTGGTTACCCGCCGGCCATGAACCAACCTGCTTTCCAACACCCCGGTCTTACGGCCAGCCCACCACCCTTGACCACACCGACTACCCGTACCCCATTTGTTCCTCCTCATCGGCGACCATTCTCCATGGATGGTATGGTCCAAGTGGCCACACCCCATCCACAAGTTCATCAGCGACCCATGAGTGTCGACGCATATCAGCCACCCGTCATTGGCTACCAGCCCGCGCCTTCGCCAGCCCCGACTTCCCCATCAGTAGTCTCTCAACCTAATATGAGCGTCAAACAAGCAATTCCAGTCAAAATCATCGAAGTGTCCCCGGCCGCTCCCAAACCCACCAACACGGCTAGCCGCACAGAAAGCCCTATCATGCACACCATCAAAGTCGACAGCCGTCTAACCTCCCTATGGACTTTGACTTTATGCTTCCTGACAGCTGCATTTGGCGTCGCTTTGATTGTAGGACGGTCCTATTTCGACGACAGCTGTCTCGACACCAAGATTCTACCGGGCGGGAAATCCACGGCTTTCGCTTTATTCGGTATCTCTGCCATTTTGCTAAGAGCTGTCATGGAAAGTGCGACTGTAGGCCTCATCGAGCTACTCACTACCCGTGCACTGGTCAGAGGTCATCCCCTCCTTCCATTGCTCGCTTCCCTCCACCCCCGCACCCGTCGTCGCAACAAAGGAGGATTCATCAACCAAGTCCAAGCCGTATTCCTCACCCTCGCACTCTGCAGCACCACCTACGGCATCGGCTACAAATATCTAATCAGCGACGTAGCCACCCTCAAAAACCAAGACCTCCAAGTCGCCGCAGCCTCATACTGCATAGGCTGCGGCCACCCAGACGGCAACAAACGCGTCGACGGCATGTTAACCATAGCCAGCATGCGCAACGGCACCGGTCCCAACAACCGCCAGAACAGCGGCGCAACCTACGGCGACTTCTACAAAGACAACACCATGTACGCTTTCCAACTCCCCCGCCAAACCGAACTACTCCGCGAACTAGGTACAGACTCCCGCATCCGCATCGACGGCAACTTTGGTCTCCGCGCCACCCTCGAACCAGACGCATGCCCAACCCTCTCCGGCAACGACACAGCCCCATACAGCGAATGGCGCTTCCTCCGCACCTACATCCAAAAGATCGACAACACAACCTTCCGCGCAACAGCAATAAACGGCACAGACTGCGAAGCCTCCAAAATCTCCCTCTCCTACATCTTCCTCGACGTAACATGGATCCAAACACCCTCCGGTCTCCGCTCCCAAGCCCTAACACCACGCGACCTGATCCCCTCCACCCGTCTCGACTTCGCAATGGAAATCATGCAAGGCCTCAACGGCGTAGTAAACAGCGAAGTCGTCAACGTCTTCATGAACAGCACCGAGGTTTGGACACCCGGTGCGTCACGTGTTGTCGCGACGGTGACGTTTGTTATGCAGAGTATGGAGATGTTGCTTCATAGGGATAGGTTGGATGATGATTTGAAGCAGTATGAGATTCGGACTTTGAGGCCAAACACTCTGGAAGCGCGCAATGGTTCATGCATCGCACTTAGTTTCTGGTGTTATGTTGCTGGTGGGGTGTTGGTGGTTGTTGGGGCGTTGTGTGTTGCGTTGGAGTTGAGTCATGCTGCGAGGATCGTGTCGGCTGCGCCGTTGCAGTGGTTGAGTATGGTGGATAGAGATCGCCGTGGCGGAGGGGATGATTGGGCTTTTGGATGTTGTACGGGGCATAACGTTGTAATAGGTGATAAAGTAGCAAGATTAGTGGAGGAGAAGGTGGCAGACGCAGAGGAGATTGAGGGGAGCGATGAGTACTATCATTTGAAGGTTGTGGGCGCCCAAACGGCGGGGAGCCATCCCGAATTCGGGAACAAGCGGTATGCGGGTGATTTGCGAAGAAGGGAAAAGGTGGAGGTGTTACGTGATGAACAGGGTGCCTCATAGATCTTCCTTACAGTATCAGAAAGTAAAGATTTTTGTAATAGTTTACCATATGAAAAAGTTGATCGCCAAATGGAACCAAGCATAATGACGACGACTTGAGTCTAGCCGTCATCGCTAGCTTGCGAAGCGTTCCCTACATCCATGACTGACACTGGCGCGAAATTCAACACTAAGGCGAGAATGAAGGAGAAAAAATGATTTTGACAAACGCTGCATTTGCGAGATGTGAGGATCGAACTCACGACCTTAGGATTATGAGACCTACGCTCTACCAACTGAGCCAATCTCGCAGATGTTTTATTTACACAAACTTATATATATATTCCAAAGAGCCTGAAACGGCAGAAAAGCGTTTCGAAAAGGGGAGGAGCAAGTGGGGAAAGCTGGTTAGGAAGCTGGACGCAAGCGGAGAAGGTCTGATCTTATGGCTGTAGAGCAAGTATACATGGCATGGCATTGGAACGATCTGGAATATGTGGCAGTAGAAAAAAAATTGCCATTGTGGGCGAGGCAGTCGCTTCAGGCCTTTTGAGATTGGCTCAGTTGGGAGAGCGCAGGCTAAGTAGACCTTCGCATCAAGGTCAGCAATTTCAACTTGAACACGCAACCGACTGAGCCAATGCGACTTTCACGCGCATTTGGCTCAGTCCGCGACTTGAGCGAAATGGCTGAGATTCACACAAACTTGGGTAAATGACAAATAGTCAAATACACCATCTACGCACCACTGAAGGTTTTGAGCCTGGTGGATGGCCTTGGAACCTTGGTGAGTCGAGATGGTGCCATTATCGCAATGCTTGATAGAAAGTACCGAGGTCTGCAGAATCGTTTCGAATCGTCCTTTCGAACGGGTCCCGTAAGCCACTGGGCATTTGTCATACGGCAAGTGCACATCCCTCAATTGCCTTGGTCCATCAAATTGGGTATACGACACTGAGTGCTGAACTAAATGATGAAGTGCCGGAGATCGCCGCATAGCAATTTGACGAGGGTCGTCCTGCAATTCCAAGTCGATGGAGTGGAGTCAATGTTGAAAAATTGCTGCTGATAGAGTCAATGTCGAAGAATTCCTGCTGAGGGCGACTCACAGAGAATGCTCTTCCACATCCAAGCGACGGACAATGAATGTACCTTTCACCATGCTGATCGACGAGAAAGAAATTCAATAACATTGGTATACATGTTGCCCTTGATGCGCGCTGGAAGTCTCAGCGTAGACATCTGATACAAATCTGCGGCTGCACCGTGACGCTTTTGCGCATCCCATCCATCGCACTTACCTTGATCAATGTGGTTGAGTAGCATGCATCACTGCGTGACATTGGACGAAGCACATATGTTTTCCTTATTGTGAACGTTCTGGCAACAGAAACGAGAGAAAAGAAATTGACGACCACTGCTCGAGGAGGAGAAGGAAAACTGCTTACGTGACGCGTTCTCCCCTGCCAAGAAATTCTTCTTGGCGACAAGCGCGTCAACACAGCACTCCATCAACGAACCCTCCAACCCCAATAACCACAAACACTCGGATTGGGGAGGAGGCCTGCGATGAACAAACAAGGAAGCTTTCGTTAATCCCTTTTGAGAATCTTACTCATGCCAAATCATAACGCCAAGAACTCAGAAACTCATTCTCCATTGCAGCGGGTGGCAAACACTTGGAAGTGGGACCACAGCGGCAGGTTACATTTCGAGCCCTTCCCCACCACTCCCCACACCTAATCCTCGGTGGATGGTCCATCCTTGTCCGTAACTCCGATCATAACAAGGTATCCAAGCCCTATCGATTGACTGAGAAGCCAACAAACGGAGACCATCATCGGAGACCACGAGGAAGCCTATGCCCACACTATCATGACCCATTCGTTCCATCCGGGGTCAAACATTCCATCGCGTCCGCCGCCACCCACATTGTAGCCTTCCATTCCTTTATTCTGTGGCGACATGGGGAAGCTGGACGCGGAAAATTAGTATTGAAGGACATCGGAGGACCTCGGTCCAACATACAACAATGAATAATGGATCATCAAACAATCGCCATAAGCGACCATTTTGACGGAAGACCCGTAACCCATAGATTGTTTTCGCGGTGGACGTGCCAGGATGGAAGCAAGTATGACGTTTTGGATGAAGGATGCATTCCCAGCTTTTGCAGGAGAAGAGATCTCTGTCGAACATCATCTCATGATGCAAACATGTCTCCGTTCACAGCTTTCCGTGAACGTGCGGGTTCTAGTCAATTAGACGGACACCTTAATGTGGGTGGGATGCCTTGCATGTTTTCTTGGCAAGTCCACCCATCACCAGCCGCCTACCAAATGAAGTCTTGGCATGAGGGGAAGGTGGAATGTTGTTTTGAAAGGAAGGATATGATGCGTTGCTGTGCCATCAAATGCGAGGAGCACGCAATCCCAATCAACTTTGCGCTTTGGGTTGATTTTCATTAGCAAGAGAAAGGAGATAAATACGGACAACACCTCGACCCATCCTCCTGCATCACCATCTCATCCTCCAACAGTCGTTCCACCCTCCTCACCAACAGAACCCACCAACAACCAACCATGCGCTTCACCATCGCCCTCGCCGCCTTCGCTCTCAGCGCTGTCGGTGTTTCCGCTGCCCCAGTGAGCACCCCAGTCTTCTCCCGCCCAACCGATGCTCCCGAACGCCCCACTGGCTCTCTTCCGCCTCACCCAACCGGCACCTGGGTGAGGCCCACTGACTTCCCTACCGGACTGCCTTCCGGTGCTCCCGCTCGCCCAACTGGCACTTGGTCTGCTGCCCCCCGTCCTACCGGCACTTGGTCAGCCCCCGCTAAGCCTACGGGGAGCCTTGCTCGTCGTCAGGAGGAGCGTCCTTCTGGTGCTCCCGCTCGTCCTTCTGGTACTTGGGCAATTCCTTCTGGCACCCATGTCGTCCCTACTGGCACCCACGCCATTCCTTCAGGCACTCAGGCTGCCCCCTCCGGCACTCACCCCGCCTTCCCAACCGGCGAACACCAGCAGCCATCGGGCACCCATGCTGCTCCGTCCGGCACTCACGCTGCTCCCTCCGGTACCCACCCTGCCTTCCCCACCAGCGAACATGAGCAACCCTCCGGCACTCGCCCTGCCCGCCCTACGGGAACGTGGTCTGCCCCAGCTCGCCCATCTGGCACCTGGTCCGCCGGCCCCAAACCCACCCTCCAAGCGCGCCAAGAGCGTCCCACCAACATTCCCACCGGCACTCGTCCCGCTCGTCCCTCTGGCACCTGGGCAGTTCCCTCCGGCACTCCTCCCGCTCGCCCAACCGGCACTTGGTCTGCTCCCGCCCGTCCGACCGGCGAAGCTCCCTCCGGCACTCGTCCTGCTCGTCCTGAGTTCACCGGTACCTTCTCCCACCCTACTGGTAGCTTCGCTGCTCCCACCGGCACGTTCGTCCGCCCCACTGGTACTTTCTCCCGCCCGGCTCAGGGCACTCGTCCCGCTGCTCAGCCCACTCAGGCTTAGATAGATATGTAGAAGAGAGATGGAGAAGTAGAGAGTCGCATAGTTTGTTTCGTTGTGTATAGTCCTCAATGCTGGTCATTGGAGATCTTAAGGCGGTTGTAAGATGGGGGAAGATTCATATGGGAGTTACCTTGGGGTAGTAGATCTTTCTACAAACTGGACGTCCTGTTCTGACTTCACCCAGTGTTCTGAGTTTCTTTCTGTGACTCTGTATTTGAGGCCGTGAAATAAAAAATATTTGGAAAAAGAAAGCATCACGCGATACGGTGAATTGCTCCGAGTGACGGCTGAACGTGCACATCAACCTTGACATCGAGCTTGTCCGGAGCCCTATCGTTTCAATGCCAGCTATCGACGAATGTTGCGAAGTATTGCGTCCCTACAAAGGCAAAACACAGTATGATCATGCGTATACCATCAGTGCGGAGTGGAAGTGAACATTGATTGAAAAATGAAGAGAAGAACGAATTGGTAGCCCTTGCTGGAACGGATGCAGAGCCGCAGAACGACGTTGTAGATAAATTCGCTCTGTATACAAATCTATTTACGCTCAAAAGATGGCCAAGTAGGCATTCCGTATTGACAGGATTTAGAAGGCAGCGGTCGAATCTGACAACAAGTGGCAAGGTGTGAGCGTCGCATCGTCCCCATGATTCCAAGTATGGACTTCAATATGCTGCTTGCAGGGATCCATCATCGTCTGAATGCTAATTTTGTTTTTTCGAGAAGCTTATACGTGGTAATTACTCGGTTCTTCAAAGCCACGAACGACATTCAAAAAGTCAAAGGATTCCGAGAAGTAGTGAATTTGCACTGGCTTCATCGAACGCCCCCAACATGCAATCAATGAAAATGCGGACCAAAGCAGTTGCCATCCCGTTGCCCATTTCAGGAACACTGATGACGAACGGACAAGGACGCAGCCATGCAATTCAAAGAAATCCAACTAAGGAGAGATAGCATACAGGAGGTCGCACAATTTCATTACAACCTGTGCCGCCCATATCGTCTACTACCCATGGAGCTTGAGATCTTCTTTTTTCACCACTATAGTCGGTTTAGTCCAGCACAGAAAAAGTAATCTTAGGGTTAGGGTTGATTTAACGCAACACATCACCCATTCGTTGTTCCTGACGTTCACCTTCAAAAAGTTTAGAAATTCTCGCTGCGTAATTCATGCATTAGAGAGATTGCGACAAGGATGCGAAGGATGAGGACAGTAGGGTCAGTTTACTTGGTTTCCACCGGTCCAATCGGTCTAGCGTCAATGCTGGTCATTGACGATCCCAAGAGGGGAAACGTGCCTAGCATCCATACAAAATTGGTTCAGTCCCAGGGAAGCATATGGCTGGAAGCTCAGAACTCTTGTTCCACTTCTTCCAAGTTTGCAAACCGCTTGATGCAGTTCTTTTTGTGTGTTCGTCTTTGAAATCATCAAATGACTTAACTTGGGGCGCCAAAAAACTGTCGATATTTGTCTGGTGCATCGCCGGACGAGAAGTCACACGCGTAGAATGCAGCAGACAGCAATGGAGAATTTCGGTACTGCCAGTCGCCATATCATGATCAGGATTTCGGCTTACCGTACTTTTTTTTGTGTCCAATTTGTATCTCACATTACATCAGAACAATGTGACTTTTGTGAATCCCCATGGACGGTCATCTGCCCGATCTCATATTTTTTGCCATTGGGTTCCGTATTATGCCGATCAATAGAAAAAGAAGGGAACTTGCGGAAGCAGTACAACACGGCGAAAAGTTGTTGATAACGTGACTAAGTTTGCTCACATGTCGGCACCTGG